TTAGATGATTTAAAACATTGCTACCCAGTCCTTAAAATAAATATTACAAATGAAGCAATAATAGGATAGGTGATAGAAAAGGCTGAATACATAGTACTACTGATGAAGATTATATCAAATACTAAAGGAAAAGTTAGCTTAAAGACTATAAATACATATATATATCAGAAAGATGCAAAGCTAGATATTTATTTTGCTATTCTGAAGATAGCTTTTTCATTGTACTTACATTGTGGCTTGGCTATGTTTATAACAGCATTATAACTATACTTTGAAATGAGACTCTGTCTTGATAAAAACATGGCAGCTATAAAAAGAAATATAATGTATGCAGACTTAAAATTAGCCTGACCAAGAAATCATTTCAAGACTCACATCTTTGGCTAGGTGGACTTGGAAAAGGAATTGTAAGTTATGGAATAATAGTCAAATTTGAAAAGGGAAATTGGCGGGATAGGACAAAAGTTCTTCTTTGAAGAACCCAACTCATTTGAAATGAGGGAGAAGACTGATGGATGGTTTAAAAGGAAATGTTTGTCTGAAGCCTGCCTGCTGTACCCATAACTACTTGTTCACAAGAATGTGGCTTGCTGGTGACAACTGTACTAATGATAGAAAAACAAGGTGAGTGGAAGAAGATGAATTACGTAAATTTACATTGACCGAGGATCTTGTTGGAGCATTTAGGAATTTAGGTTATTAAAAATAAACCTAGGATTTTCTTACATTGAAAAGCAATTAAAAGATGAAGGATACTTTTCTTTGATCTTTGAATGAAATCCAGATTGGCCATAATAATGTTTATTAACATTACTTGCAGGTAGGTAGGTAGTAACAGTTATTTCATGATTTGAGAGGAAGTATAAAGTATGTTCTAAGTGTAAGTTAATATTTTATTTTTTGTTTATAAAAAAAAGAAAGTTACCAAAAATGTCACATAAATTGGTTGTCAAATTAGAAGCCTGCAACTTTCTGTGTTCCATTTCAAGCAGTTGTCTTATTTTAAAATATAAACTTAGCTTAAAAGTTGAGGATTAGAAAACAATAAAGATGAGAAGCCATTCAATCTTTTAAAAGACACATTTTTTGCTTTTGTTCAAAGCCCAGCCATTAAATCAATACCTTAATAAGGATACTTACTATGATTCTTTACACATTTAGAAATTTGATAAACTCAGGTTTAGTGAATATTTTAACAAAAGCAAATGAAACTGGTACTTAAATTTTTTTCTTGGTGAAACATTACTCAACACTTAATTTAACATGCTGTAATTTTAAACGAATCTTTTTTCCTACTGAGACACATTGGAAATGCAGCTAAATTGTTTCAGTCGCCCACTCACTGAACAAAAAAAAAAAAGGAAAAAGGCTTATTACTTGCTGCGTAACAGGAAGCTGAAGGGTCTACCACCAAGGCAGCACAATTGACGAGGAAGGCTCCTTTCTCGTTCCCCATCATCACAGAGCTTTGATTAAGTGGAGAAAGCACTGTTCCTGGGGGCCAGAAGACCGTGTGGATGAAGAATGCTCTGTGCCTATCGCCACTCTTAATTCTCAAGTATGTATATTTTAATAATCTACAGTTCAGGGAAGTATACCCAAGCCGTGTCTCAAATGTAGATCTCTCACGGTTTGCGTTTTACTGAGAACCCGTGTGCAAAGGACAGCGTGAGGATACCCAGGTGCCCAGATTTAGCACTGACCCAGCACTTTCATCTGTAATGTGCCTTACAAACCTTAACTAATTAAGAGGAGCAACACCCTGCAAGGTATTTAGCAGGATGCAAAAATGAAAATCTACAAGGAAAACAGCCAGGATGCATAAATCATGAAGTGTTAAATCAACATGACCTGAAAACCAGCAAGTCTCTTTCCCCCTCTTCTTGCCATGACCCTCTTTTGGGAAAGGGAAGAAGTTAAGGTTTTATGCCAAGTGATGATGGGGGTGGGGGCAGGAATGCTGAATGGGTGGGGCTGGGTAGGAGGGCTATTATAAAGTGTGAAGTATCACATTTGCAAAGGGGAATGTTCCGCTAACTCAGAGAAGGGGCTGCAAGAATATAACCCTTTTAGAAGTACCTCAGAGAATAGAAAATCAATACAGTGTTTAAATAATCTACTGCAGATTGACTTCACATAAAGGAGACCCAGCTAGGAAGCTACCACACTGGGAAATCTGACACTGAGCAGTTGGAGAGACTAAGAGGGCAGGAGAGTGGTCTGTGGCATAATCTGCATTTTTTTGTTGTTGTTCTTCCAGGGGCTGGAGGAGGGCATCGCGACTGCCCTGTGGGCCGACTGCAGACTTTGCTCACTCGCTTTATGAAAGCAGCCTCAGCAGGCAACAGCATTACGCAAAGGTGAGTGTAATAACTTTGGCAACTTTCAGAGGAGATACAGGAGTGTTTGGAAGAATCTGCTGTTCACCGTCTGGATGAAGAAAACTGGGATTCTAACCAGTTCTGTGACCTGAGTTTGTTTCTTCAGCTTTATATGGTTTAATCATCTCTATCTCAAAGGGAGTGCTAGAAAATGAAATGAGATGGATGTAAAAGTGCTTACGTGCAGAGGAGATACTCCATGGATTGTAGTTCTCTCCCCCTTACCTACCTCTTTAGTGTGCCACAGACATGAGGCAGATACAGTTCTGTCAACCTCAGGAAGTCTGCCATCTACATTCAGGATTCACCTCAGATGCCCTCTTAAACCCTTGAAGTTGCACTGTCCACCGTGGTGGCGTGAGTCACCTACAACCCTGAGCACTTGCAAAATGATGAGTCAAAATTGAGAGGAGCTGTCATTGTAGACTAATGCCAAATGTTGAACGCTTAGTTTTAAAAAAAGTAAAATATTTAATTAATAACTTTTATATTTATTACATATTGAAATGAGAATAATTTGGACATATAAGGTTAAATGTCATGTTAAAATTCATTACACCTCTTTTTACTTTTTAAATTTGTGGCTATGGAAGACTTAGTTACACATGGAGCTCACATTTGTGATTCACATTATGTTTCTATTGGTAGTGTTATCCTAGAACATAACTTTCAAATATCTTAGATCACATACTTCATCAGTGAAAAAAATGTTTGAGAACGCATCCCCCTAATTATGTACATTTTTGTTTATAAGTATACTTAATATATATATTAGAAAACATACAAAAATAGAAAGCAAATGCAAATTAAAGTCCTCATATCTTCTTCCCACACTCCAATGATTATCTTGTGTACCCCTGGGGTGGGTACGTGCCCCTTTGGAAGCTGGTAACTTAGAACTGACTCCATGAGACAAAGGATGCATTTGTCACACTCCTATGGGGAGTAGGAAAACTGGGTGATTATAATTGGAGAGAAACAAAATCACAATAAAAATTGTAACCATGCACAGATTCTACAAGTACAACCAAAGAAAAACATTACACATGAGTAAGACAAAAAGGCTAAGGGGTTCCCCTCAGTTACTGCTGCAGAATTTTGTTGCAAGTGAGCAGGTGGAGATGAGGCCAAGTGACAGGCCATGAGACCTGGCCAGGAAGCTCTCCCTACATAGAACTTTACATAAGGTTGAGAAGTCAACTGAACGAAGATGGTAGGGAGGGGCTGAGGCATGCCCTAGGTGCTGTTTGGTACCTTCTCTTAGCACTGCCCCATAGGAAAGACAGGCAGGCCCTAGGTTTCCAGAAGCTCATTAAGAGAAGGGGAAAGGAAAGTATCATGAAGGAAGGAAATGGGGATGGAGCCGCTGCCAGTGTTCTCAGGTTCCGTGAGCAGAGGCAACAGAGTCCCATTTCACGTAGGGCCCCGAGAGGCGACAAGACCTTTTGAGGAGAAGTATTGGGAGATACTATGATTTGAGGGCAGCAGTGAAAGACTCCTCTGCCCGAGTCTGGCCCCAGAACCGAAAAGATTATGGACTTGGTCAAGGCGTGGCTCTAGAGACCAGAGGGCCAGCCCCACATATTCCGGAATGCATGAGACCATCTGGGGCTCTTGCTTGACTTCAGGGAGGGGAGAACCCTAAATCGTGACTGAAATTAGTTGTCTGACAGCAGAATTATTTGAATTAGAGATATATGGAGATGTGACAAGTTTTTAACAGAAAATAGCTCAATTAAAAAATGTACAGAGTGACATAATTAAAATGTCAAATAGAATGAAAATAAAATCCCTTTGTCCCATCTTCATCCTCTAGATTCCTACTTCCCAGGAATAACCACCTTTGACTTTTTAAATTGTTTTTTTTCACGTTTACCTCCATAATTCTAAATAAGGTATTCTTATTATTTCTGAAGTTTTTGAGTTTTTTATGTTATCTAAGGTCTTCCTACCAAGGAAGATGAAAGTTCAACTCTCTTACACACACACACACAAACTTTACATCCTCTTCTTCCTATCAATATAGTTATATCACAATTTCACAATTTTGGTTATTAATAGAGGATTTACATTACTGGGACTCTGCCAATTTTATTTATTCATAGCAGAGCCAGGTAGTATATTATGATTTTCCTTTCTTGAATAACTTTTTGTTTTTCCTAGAGTTAATAAGTACCTGTAAAAAAACCTTTGCTTAATTTTCTATTTACCTGTTTATCACTCATTCATCTTCAAACTCTCACTACACCATCAGTCTCTCTCTATGTTCAAACACTGGGAAGTATGTTGTTTTTCTGTCACTTCTCATCCTCCTGCATTAATCTGGCCTGGAACATGCTCAACATCCTGGACTTCCCTTCACCTTCACTGTCACATTTCTCTTGTCCTCATCTTCTGCATTTTGTCATTGCTGTTCTTATGGGTTGACACGTACTTTATTCATTCAATTCCCTTTTAATGACTATTCAGGAAATAAACGAATCTTTTTTCCTACTGAGACACATTGGAAATGCAGCTAAATTGTTTCAGTCGCCCACTCACTGAACAAAAAAAAAAAAGGAAAAAGGCTTATTACTTGCTGCGTAACAGGAAGCTGAAGGGTCTACCACCAAGGCAGCACAATTGACGAGGAAGGCTCCTTTCTCGTTCCCCATCATCACAGAGCTTTGATTAAGTGGAGAAAGCACTGTTCCTGGGGGCCAGAAGACCGTGTGGATGAAGAATGCTCTGTGCCTATCGCCACTCTTAATTCTCAAGTATGTATATTTTAATAATCTACAGTTCAGGGAAGTATACCCAAGCCGTGTCTCAAATGTAGATCTCTCACGGTTTGCGTTTTACTGAGAACCCGTGTGCAAAGGACAGCGTGAGGATACCCAGGTGCCCAGATTTAGCACTGACCCAGCACTTTCATCTGTAATGTGCCTTACAAACCTTAACTAATTAAGAGGAGCAACACCCTGCAAGGTATTTAGCAGGATGCAAAAATGAAAATCTACAAGGAAAACAGCCAGGATGCATAAATCATGAAGTGTTAAATCAACATGACCTGAAAACCAGCAAGTCTCTTTCCCCCTCTTCTTGCCATGACCCTCTTTTGGGAAAGGGAAGAAGTTAAGGTTTTATGCCAAGTGATGATGGGGGTGGGGGCAGGAATGCTGAATGGGTGGGGCTGGGTAGGAGGGCTATTATAAAGTGTGAAGTATCACATTTGCAAAGGGGAATGTTCCGCTAACTCAGAGAAGGGGCTGCAAGAATATAACCCTTTTAGAAGTACCTCAGAGAATAGAAAATCAATACAGTGTTTAAATAATCTACTGCAGATTGACTTCACATAAAGGAGACCCAGCTAGGAAGCTACCACACTGGGAAATCTGACACTGAGCAGTTGGAGAGACTAAGAGGGCAGGAGAGTGGTCTGTGGCATAATCTGCATTTTTTTGTTGTTGTTCTTCCAGGGGCTGGAGGAGGGCATCGCGACTGCCCTGTGGGCCGACTGCAGACTTTGCTCACTCGCTTTATGAAAGCAGCCTCAGCAGGCAACAGCATTACGCAAAGGTGAGTGTAATAACTTTGGCAACTTTCAGAGGAGAGACAGGAGTGTTTGGAAGAATCTGCTGTTCACCGTCTGGATGAAGAAAACTGGGATTCTAACCAGTTCTGTGACCTGAGTTTGTTTCTTCAGCTTTATATGGTTTAATCATCTCTATCTCAAAGGGAGTGCTAGAAAATGAAATGAGATGGATGTAAAAGTGCTTACGTGCAGAGGAGATACTCCATGGATTGTAGTTCTCTCCCCCTTACCTACCTCTTTAGTGTGCCACAGACATGAGGCAGATACAGTTCTGTCAACCTCAGGAAGTCTGCCATCTACATTCAGGATTCACCTCAGATGCCCTCTTAAACCCTTGAAGTTGCACTGTCCACCGTGGTGGCGTGAGTCACCTACAACCCTGAGCACTTGCAAAATGATGAGTCAAAATTGAGAGGAGCTGTCATTGTAGACTAATGCCAAATGTTGAACGCTTAGTTTTAAAAAAAGTAAAATATTTAATTAATAACTTTTATATTTATTACATATTGAAATGAGAATAATTTGGACATATAAGGTTAAATGTCATGTTAAAATTCATTACACCTCTTTTTACTTTTTAAATTTGTGGCTATGGAAGACTTAGTTACACATGGAGCTCACATTTGTGATTCACATTATGTTTCTATTGGTAGTGTTATCCTAGAACATAACTTTCAAATATCTTAGATCACATACTTCATCAGTGAAAAAAATGTTTGAGAACGCATCCCCCTAATTATGTACATTTTTGTTTATAAGTATACTTAATATATATATTAGAAAACATACAAAAATAGAAAGCAAATGCAAATTAAAGTCCTCATATCTTCTTCCCACACTCCAATGATTATCTTGTGTACCCCTGGGGTGGGTACGTGCCCCTTTGGAAGCTGGTAACTTAGAACTGACTCCATGAGACAAAGGATGCATTTGTCACACTCCTATGGGGAGTAGGAAAACTGGGTGATTATAATTGGAGAGAAACAAAATCACAATAAAAATTGTAACCATGCACAGATTCTACAAGTACAACCAAAGAAAAACATTACACATGAGTAAGACAAAAAGGCTAAGGGGTTCCCCTCAGTTACTGCTGCAGAATTTTGTTGCAAGTGAGCAGGTGGAGATGAGGCCAAGTGACAGGCCATGAGACCTGGCCAGGAAGCTCTCCCTACATAGAACTTTACATAAGGTTGAGAAGTCAACTGAACGAAGATGGTAGGGAGGGGCTGAGGCATGCCCTAGGTGCTGTTTGGTACCTTCTCTTAGCACTGCCCCATAGGAAAGACAGGCAGGCCCTAGGTTTCCAGAAGCTCATTAAGAGAAGGGGAAAGGAAAGTATCATGAAGGAAGGAAATGGGGATGGAGCCGCTGCCAGTGTTCTCAGGTTCCGTGAGCAGAGGCAACAGAGTCCCATTTCACGTAGGGCCCCGAGAGGCGACAAGACCTTTTGAGGAGAAGTATTGGGAGATACTATGATTTGAGGGCAGCAGTGAAAGACTCCTCTGCCCGAGTCTGGCCCCAGAACCGAAAAGATTATGGACTTGGTCAAGGCGTGGCTCTAGAGACCAGAGGGCCAGCCCCACATATTCCGGAATGCATGAGACCATCTGGGGCTCTTGCTTGACTTCAGGGAGGGGAGAACCCTAAATCGTGACTGAAATTAGTTGTCTGACAGCAGAATTATTTGAATTAGAGATATATGGAGATGTGACAAGTTTTTAACAGAAAATAGCTCAATTAAAAAATGTACAGAGTGACATAATTAAAATGTCAAATAGAATGAAAATAAAATCCCTTTGTCCCATCTTCATCCTCTAGATTCCTACTTCCCAGGAATAACCACCTTTGACTTTTTAAATTGTTTTTTTTCACGTTTACCTCCATAATTCTAAATAAGGTATTCTTATTATTTCTGAAGTTTTTGAGTTTTTTATGTTATCTAAGGTCTTCCTACCAAGGAAGATGAAAGTTCAACTCTCTTACACACACACACACAAACTTTACATCCTCTTCTTCCTATCAATATAGTTATATCACAATTTCACAATTTTGGTTATTAATAGAGGATTTACATTACTGGGACTCTGCCAATTTTATTTATTCATAGCAGAGCCAGGTAGTATATTATGATTTTCCTTTCTTGAATAACTTTTTGTTTTTCCTAGAGTTAATAAGTACCTGTAAAAAAACCTTTGCTTAATTTTCTATTTACCTGTTTATCACTCATTCATCTTCAAACTCTCACTACACCATCAGTCTCTCTCTATGTTCAAACACTGGGAAGTATGTTGTTTTTCTGTCACTTCTCATCCTTCTGCATTAATCTGGCCTGGAACATGCTCAACATCCTGGACTTCCCTTCACCTTCACTGTCACATTTCTCTTGTCCTCATCTTCTGCATTTTGTCATTGCTGTTCTTATGGGTTGACACGTACTTTATTCATTCAATTCCCTTTTAATGACTATTCAGGAAGATGCATACTTTATTTTTTCCGGAGCGCTGTTTATTGGGTCGTAAGAATGTGATACTTCCCAGCCTCTGTCTTGTAGAGTAAAAGTCACAGCAGCTCCGCAGGAGTAGCAACACCAGTGACGGATGGAAGTGAAGTTCCTTCTCCCAATCAGAGCTGATGCCCACCATGTGCATGACAATCAGATTTGATAGTAGAATGTAGAGTCCACCAAAATCTAGTAGCACCTAATTTTGTTCCAAAAATACCAGATTTAAACATCTCATAACAAATTGTTTTATAAGTTCTGGAAAGTAGCTCTCGGTCATATGGGGAAGTAAACACTTAGGTGATTGTGGGTCATTCATCTCTAAGAACCAAAGCAGCAACTATGGCCCAAAGTGGGACACTTTGAGCAAAAACAAACTTTAATGGATTGGGATACATAAAATATGCTAAAATCCATGAGTTCGTAAGACACAAAATACTAAAACCCAAAAAACTCCTTGGTCATCTGTGAAGGATGCTCATTATTCTGAAAACTGGTAAATAAAAGGAAAGAATCAGACTTCTTCCCTTTACCAGAAAAAGTAAACAAAACAAAACAACAATAACAAAAAATATATATGCCCGAAGGTAACAAGTAGATAAGGGAGAATTCTTTTTTTAAAAAAAATGCCATCTAATAAATGAGGAAGAAATAAATGATATTGCAGCACCTAATGAAATAATGGATCTAGGCAATGATCACCAATGGCTACTGAAACCATTTGCTAAACACCTATGGGGAGCCCAACAGTGCCGATAAAATATTCTTGCCAATAAATCACACATAATCTGACCTGCCTTCCTTGCCCCACAGACTGTTACCCCACCGGCTTGGCTCTCTCTCTAGCAGACTTAGAAAGCTGCTGTGGATGCCAGGCGCCCTCTGGCTTGTCACAGAGCCTGCTCTGCTTGGGCCTCTGGAGTCAGTCTAGGTCTTCAGAGCCAAAGAAGATCCAGGGTAGCTGGCCACTGTGAAGCGCAGTAATTGCTGAGTGTGAATGTGCCAAGGCCAGTGACAGGGAGTAGTGGGGCCGTGGTAAACTGGAGGGCATGTGCTCTCTGATTAAATGAACTGATGGGGAGTTGGGAAGCATATAGGTTGGGGCAGGAACATCAGAGACCAATGAGGGCAGGTCTAGGAATCCTTCAGCTTTCATGATCCCTGCAGTAGATCTAGACCTGTACTTGAGCTGCACCTCTACTTTTCTTGGAAGTACGAGTCCTGAACATAGCGATTTCTTTGACAGCAGAGAACTCTAGTGCCTAGTCAAAGTGGATTGAAAAACATAATGCTTATTACACTGACAAAGCAGGAATGGGTAGGAAATGTACTACCAGGAAAAAGGCAGTCCCTTGGGGAGCCTGAATGTGTTGACTGAATGATAAGAATCTGTACACCAAGGGTGTTAGCCAGACAGGAAATCCATCCTGGTGGAGAATCTGAAGTGCCTGAGTCAGGACTGGCAGGCTGTGGCCACATTGATTGACTCCAAAGGGCATTCTTTATACACACAGGCAAAGGGCATATCTAAACTTTGCAGTCATGAGAGACTTTCCTGGGCACTGTGAGGAAGTAAAAGGTGATGGAGAGGGGGATTAAGAGCCTGAGAGAGAGGTAGGAAATCTACTTCTTCTTTCTTCCCAGTGATTAATTTTTATTCAATTTAAAAATAATTCTAAGATTCTTCCTAAATACTAGAAAAATACCAGAATGTAGTAAACTGTTATAAAGAACAGGATTTTTGGTGAGTTTCAGAATCTTGCTGATAGGATTACTAATTTATTTGGTGGGTTAGCAGGACTGATCGCATCAGCTGCTGCATGGTCAAAAGTGAATACTCACTGAGAGTACCATGTAAAGGAACATACCAAATCTGGTGGGGGACACAGACAGCCATAAGACACAGTTCTTGCTTTGCCAGATCTCTTCCAATGCAGATGAAGATCTAATATCAAAAAATTATGTTCTAAAACATAATTGTGGTAAATATAAATGATTGGTGGAATGAGGAAAGGCTGAGATGGACAGGCAAAGCTTCACAAAAGATCTGGGAATTGACTCTGTCTTTGAAGGGAGGCCCAAATTTCAGTAGCTGTTAAGGGGAAAGGGAGTCTTCTTCTCATCTAATTCTTTCATGGTATACCAGATGTTTCTGGTGCCTGCTTGTCTGCATTCCCTCCAAAGAAGCTGCCTTGCCCAAAGGCTCTTCTAGACAGTCATGTTTTAATGCCCACTACCCCTGTTCCAGCAGGTTAGGCAAGAGCTGTTACCTGACCCAAGACTGCCATTCCCAGGTGTGGCTTTACCAGCATAGCTCGTCTTAGAAAGACATTCTGAGCTCACGAGAGTCTCCTTCTTGACAATTTAAATGTAGAAACATGAAAAAAGAACTCAGGTGAAAGGATACCACATGTGTAAGTCAAAGTTATGAAGAAAAGAAGGTGGTGCCAGGCTACCTGTGAGTCCGAAGACATTCTGGTT